TTGAAGATTTATGAACAATAAAATGATTAGCTGGTGAAAAGAACGAAGGAATACATTATATGATTCTACCTCATCCATGCATATTCTACAAGACCATTTTGTGCAGCATAAAAACACTTGCATACACACTAAAGTGAATGACAACCTTATATTTCTGTCCCCTTAAAAGACCAAATATGATCTTGATCATAAGAGAATGAACTGGGAACATGGCATCTATTACAGTCTCTGCCATTAACTTCATAAGTGCACTTGTACCTCATCCCAGGTAAACCCCTTTGTACTCTCAGATGAAAAATATAAGTCATTAGAGATTCAGACAACGATACCTGAAAATTACCTCAAGCCTCAAATGGAAGGCACTGGATGAGTAAAAACGAATCATCATCAGCAAAGTCTTCCTCATATTTATAACTTAACCTCCCATACACATATCTATGGGGTGACAATAAGATGTTTTATAAGTCACTCAATCTCGAGGGTGCTGGTATATACACCACGGAACCTATAGTGACTATATTGTTAAATAAGTCATCAGATGGGGAAAAATACTGGGCTGGAAGCCAGACTAAAGCATTATTTATTAAGTTTTCTTCAAAATAACTAACAATTCTTACTTTTCTATAGCTGGTGTTCCGTGAAACTGAGCCTTGTATTTTCTGGATTACAATTTGTGGTTTCGTCCCTGATTAAGGAGTTGGCATTAAATTATAAAAGTATAACCAATAGTATCAATAAAGGAAACATACAGCATCCATCAACCTTAAGATGAGTAAGATAATACTCCCTGTCCAGTAAAATCATCACAACTATTTTGTGAATGTTGATAAAGAAGGAAACCTAGACTACCATAAAGCATAAAATCAACCTGTAACCTACATTCATCTGACCTAGCTTGAGGTGTAATCACCTTACTCCAATTGGATTAACTACTTTAGTGGACACATATAATTCAGAAGGCTTGTACAGGGGACTGATTTGAGTGACTCATCTCTCCTTAAAAATTATGTGAAATAATTTAAATCTATACCTCTTACTTTTCTTTCAGAGAAGGAGTCTCTGCAACAGACGACACAACCAGATGTGTCACATTGACCTGTACCTTATTAAAGTGTTCAAGGCCTGTTTCCAGGGGTGATGATGATGCTTGTTCTTGAACTGAAAATGATTTTGAAAAGTAAAGACTCACACAGTAGATCTCTCCTTCTTCTCTGTGTGGGTTGAATTGTGTCCCACAAAGAGACATGCCTCAGTCCTACCCCGAGGCCCTGTAACGGTGACCTTCTACAGGGGATGAGGTCAGACTGCAGGGGTGTGCCTTCCAGATCTGCGCAGTCCCTACCTGCCCAGCCCCCCCGGTGTTCTTGCACTCATTCTACCTCATTCATGTCCATTTTCTGCCTGGTCTCTGTGGTCTAACCCTCCCATTTTACAGATAACACTTAGAGAGTCTATGTGGTTTGATCAAGGTCACAGAAATAGGCACAGTGTGAGGATCGGGCGTAGGAGCCAAGGCTTCTGGGGTTTGAGGTCAGTGTGATAACATCAGCTTCCCGGGCTCTTTGGAATCTAACAAAGACCTACAAATACCCAGAGCTTTCAATCCACTATTCCTTTACAGCCCTCACGACTTCTTACCCTACATTACGTTACTTCTGTGTGCTCAATTGGCCCTATATCCATTCATTCACTCAGGATTTATTGAATACTTGACTCTGCCAGACATTGTGTTGGACCTTGGGGATACAGCAACGAGCACAAATTTACACTCTGGTGGGGAAGACAGACAAGGCTTAGCTCCTCCACTATCCTACAAGCCTTTAAGGGCAGGACTCAATCCGATTTACTTTTGAGCTAACACCCAACACAATAGTATAAACATGTAAGTGTCCAATAAAACATAGAATACACTTTTTTAAAAAAGGTGAAATCATACTGGAGTAGGGTGGGTCTTAATATGAACAGTCCAATATGACTGGTGTCTTTATAAGAAGAGGAGAGAGACACAAGAGAAGGCCTTGTGACAAGGGAGGCAGAGGCCAGAGTGATGCCTCTACAAGCCAAGGAACACCAAGGATTGGCAGCAACTTTCAGAGGCTGGAAGAGGCAAGGAAAGATTCTCTCCTGGAGAGATCCAGGAGAGCACAGCCCTGCTGACACATTCATTCCAGACTTCTGGCCTCCAGAACTGTGAGAGAATACATTTCTGTTGTTTTAAGCCATCAAGTTTGTGCTGTGTTGTCACAGCAGCTCTTGGATACTAACACACTCTCTGGCATTCTCATATCAACCCTGTTTATTCTACGCTGACAGGCCCCAGGGGCCAAGAAACGCTATCAGTCACTCTTTTAGACTCAGAGCATCTGATCTACAGTTAACAGAGTGCTTCATATGTGGACTTGGAGAATGGGGAGCACAGGCAGCATCTTCAGAATGATCTAGTCCAAGAGTCCCAGCTCGGGTAGGACTATTTTTAGCACTGTCGGTATCTCCTCTTTCATCCTGCTTGAGCGCATTCAGTGTTGGGGTGAGAAAGCATGTCTCCAACAAGAGGAAGTAAGGTGGAAAGTTCTTGTAATTAATTGAAGATACTCCTTCTCTGGAACATCTACCAACTCTTGACGGTACTCGTAATAGATCTTTGTCCTCAGGACCCCTTCCACGTGGTAGTGAATATTGGAAGCCACTTGTCCTATTTCCCTGTGTCTTTTCTTTTTCAGTATAAATGTTTTTATTCTTCAACGCCCACTCCAAGGACATGACACTTGAGCTTTCACACTCCTAGGAAACATATTCCTTCTATTTTTCCTCTTAGACACAGGAAACAAAGAACTCCGACCTCTTCAGACCGCGCGCCCCCCCCCACTAATGTTTTAGGCATCACGTTTTTATTCATGCAGTCTCATCTAGCACTGGCTGTATTTGTTTGTTTGTTTATTAGCAGTTGTTTTATTCTTAATTTAAAAAAAAACATAAAAACAATCACCAAATCATTTTGCCAGATTTTTAAAAGAACACAGCAGGAAGCTACCAAACAAACAAACACAGGTGACACGGACTGGATTAAGGGTGTTAATTAGGAGAACAGAATGCAAGGAAAAATTATATGGAAAGTGGAGGAAGGGGGAGACTGCCCATGGAAGCCTGGACTGCTGTTTTCCTAAGAGGAGAATAAACCCAGTTATGCTCCAAGTGTACTGAAGTTGTGCTCACATCTCCTTAATGATTCAGAGGGCATTTCAGGACCTGAGGTGAGTCGTGTTCATCTTTATGAATATTTATTTTCGCTGTGTCACAGTGCGCTGCCTGCAGACGCTGCGTTGAGAGGCGTTTGTGGGTTTGATTATGCTGAGCGGCTGGGACTGCGTGCTAACAGAGACTGCTGATTAACAGAAGGCTCCATCAGTAAGTGTTCACTGCAACGTTTTCTCGTTTTTTTATATATGTATATAATTCTTTTCTAAATTAACATTCCTGGAGAGGACATGTTAAATTCTATCCAGAAAAAAAGTAAACAAAATTAGTAATGGATAAGACCTTCAGTTATTGGATCCTCCTCTTGGTAAAGGGAATATTGAATCAAAGGGAAAAATGTCATGCGAGTGATACACGATTTCTCCTCCAGGCCAACTGTGCATGAACCTGAATGGCCAGCCCCTACCTGGGTTTGGGCTAGAACAGCGCCTCTTGAACCTCACTGTTTGTATGAATCACCTGGGGATCTTGTTAAAAAGAGTCCCCATCAGTGGGTCTGCAGTGGGGCCTAGGATTCTGCATTTCTCACAAGCTCCCAAGTTATGCTCGTAGGGCTTATCTTTGGGTCAGACATTGGAGTGACAAGGGGCTGGAACAGGCTGCTTCTGGAACTTCCTACAGCTAGCTTCTCTGGCTCCCACCACCGACCCCGAAAGCTCAGGGGGAACTTTGCTCATAACTGAAGCATCATGTTATGAGCCCTTCCCTTGGAGAGACGCTCTCACTGGGGTGTTTTAACACTAAGACGTGAAGACTAGAGTTTGTGCCTCAAGACATTTCCCCTCCAGGGTCTTCCTAAAACAGTAGACCTTCAAATAGGACTCTTAGCCATGGATTAAAAAAATAACTTTCCTATTGCAGAATCTCAGCCTCTAATGTCAACATCTAAAATTATCTTTTCCTACTCCTTTTATGCATATATATATATATATATTTTTTTTTTTACCAAATTTCATTTAGTAGTAATGGGATTTTGACATACACTTACTGCAAAACATAGGGTTTTTCTTTCTAAATTATGGTCAAAACTAACTTTTGTTTCCTGAAGAGAAGATAAGGTAATCTGAAAATGCCAAATAAAATGGATCTCTTTCAAAAATCATTACAACTAGCAATTGTGTGCTGACAGTTATTATAAAAGTAGATTAGGCATTCCACCTACAATTGTATTTATATTGTTAATTTGTATGGACAATCTGTTTTGATTAGAAAGATGTAAAATCCTAGGTGAATTTTAAATTAGTTAAATTTTAAATAAGAGGTTTTCATAAAGAACACATTAAATATTTAAACCAATAAGAAACAGTTCTGTTTGGGTTTAGTTGAGTGATCATTTTGATGTTTTGATTTGTTTTAATTCAATCACTCTAAAAATATAGATTCAGCTTTATTTGAAATAGATTTCAGTGTGTGTTGTATGAAGAAATTATATACTCAAGTTATAATTTATTTTAGTTTAATTCATTTTTATGTTCAGCAAGTATGATTCATTTCAACTATTTTTGGTTTGATTCCATATTACATAGGTTATACAATAATCATCTTGAAAAGGTTCACTTTCATTTCAAAATATCTTCAATTCACAATACTTTTAGAACTCATAACCCGATATCTCAGATACACACACATACAGACATAGACACACACACAGGCGTGCACAAAACGCCCTGTGGCTGCCATGCTTGGTGATGCTCTGCCCTCTTCTGGCAGCTCATGAGATCTCCCTTTGTTGATTTTAAACTTACCTCCAGTTAAGTGTTTTTTCCTCTCGCAGAACTGTAGTTCAAAATACTTTATGAAGCAACTGGACAGATCGTTAAGAGTTGTCTTGGCATGTCCAAAGGCTTCTAAAATGCACATGACCTGTAGTAAAAGAGAAACATTTATTGAACTACTTATGTTTTTCCATGGAATTGGAGAGTAATAGCAGAGATAGAGGGAATATGCCATCATCTAAGAGGTTCTCTATGGATCATATAACACCATGTTGGATTTTTGAGGTCACTCTTTCCTCAACCGCAAATGACTAGCATCCTCTGTCCCAAACTGCAGCTAATGTTAATAAGATCATGATGGACAGAGACTTCACTTCACTCACTTTGCCTTCCTCTCAGTGTAAGTGGAGGAGGACATTCTCCACACACATACACACACACACACACACACGCAACTCAACACATGTTATTTGAACTTTTAAACTTGAAAAGAACAGTAGAAACGTTTTTGTGGCTTTGGAGGGGAGGAATTAGACTTAATATAAGCAATAGTCAGAATTTCTTTTAAAAATAATAAATGCACTTAAACATTGGCTTATCACCTCCTCTTGAAGCCCTATTTTCTTGCCACACGTACTCCTCTACCCTGAGCCGCAACCGTCCCTCTGCCCTGTTAGTGCTCCATGCCACCCATTCTCTCCCACAGAAACGGGAGTAAGGATAGACGAAGCCGTTTTATCCAGTGTGTCTTGTTTCCGTGTGCTCGCTTTCACAAGTGGGGAGTTTGCCGCTTAAAATGCCCTTCATAAATCTCCTCAGATCAAACTGGCGTCTGAAATTCTTTCTTGACATGTTTCCTTAAACACTGACTATAGAACAAACACCATTTCTTCTCACAATTGATTGTGTCTGAGATAATGATAATGACCAAGCAATTCTCCAAAAAGTATGAGAATCTAGAAGGTTCGAAGGTGTTTTTCTATCTTTCAAGATATGAATGTTAAGTGCACTTCCTGCATCTGCCACAAGAGGGAGCACAATATTTGATACACTGAGTTGTTCCTTATAATCTGGTGACAGTATTTTTTGAGAATTTTATTCTAAATTTAAAAACAAAATACTTTGCTCCTACCTTTCAATTTTCTGGGGACTGCTAGATTAAAACATTCAATTAACCTGGAAGTAGTTTATATTTCGAAAGATTATAAAACAGCACTTTGATTCTAATCACAAATCAAAAATGTTAAAAGTTGTGGTAATAGTGAAATATATTAAAACGTTGGTTTTTTGAAGTTCATACTTCTGAATCTTTACAGAAATCCTATGCTTTAGGTCTTTTTATAATATCCTAATTTTAAAGATCATAACAGTGAATTGATAGTGATGGCAGAAATGTTTTGTGAAAAATAATATGAAACAGTATTTATGAAGGTCCTATTTTTTCCTTCTTTTCCAATAATTTAATATTAAATATTAAATAAATATATAGTGAAATTAATAGTGTAATTAGATCACATTTTAAACAATCATAATACTATATTAAACAATTGTTTAAAAATTCATAAAAAGAATTGCAATGAATTTTTTAAAATATTTTGGCTTCTAGTTATTTTGGTGCTGTATCTGATAATACATTGTTTTTTTATTATTATAGAAAAGGGACATAAACAATAATTGATGACATGTGTCCAAAGAAGAGGTAAAGAGGAATGCAGGTGCTTTGGACTGAGAAGTGGCTGCCCCAGGTCCAAGCTCTGTTCATGACAAATTATATAACATTGAGCAGGTTTCATGAACTCCCCAAACCTCATCTTCTTTATTCTGACACAGGATCAACTCCCTCAGCAGTTACCAGTGTCAGATGTAAGAGGTTCTCAGATTGGTGCCTGCACATAGAAAGCAGTCAGTTAACAACACAGATTAATTTTATGTTTGTTAATAACAACAGAAAACATTTATATTGTGCTTACTATGGGCCAGGTACTATTCTAAAGTTTTATATATATAAATATATTTATTTATAAATTAGATATAATTGTTATATACGTATGTGTATGTGTTTATACATATATTTCTTTTAATCCTCACAACTAGTGTCTCCATTTTACAGAAAAGGAAATTGAGAGATCATGTAACTTTCCCAAGGTTCAGAGCTTGTAAATAGTGGAGCTGGGATGTGAACCCCAGCACCCTCTCTGCAGAGCTGGTGTGTCTCATCACTGCAGTACAGGGCTTTTACTGCTAGAAAAACAGTCAAGACATATAAGGTATAAAACTAAAACCATCGAGCAAAATATACTCACATGGCATTCTGTCACTGCGCACTGCTGGCCCATAATTTAAGACTAACGTACTGATGACAGTGAAATAACAGTGGCTTCTATCTTCAATTAGCCACTTGACTAATAGGTGGCACTCAACAGATGTGTTAAGAGAAATATCGAGAAAATGCAAAACTGGTATGATTCCACAGTTCACCTTGACTTTGAAAAAAATAATGAGAATGTGGTGCAGTAAAAAAACTTTACATAAATGTACAGGCAAAAGATGTAAGTATATATTTCCTCAGTACGTACTGATTCAAATTTTATTGACACGATTTTTTTCTATGTCCGTCATATGGTGTTTTTTCTAAAAAAATTTAATAGTTATCCTGCTAAATTGCTAAAAGTTATGTGCAATTATCATAGTAGTAGTTAACCTTTTGTATTTTTTAATAGTAAAAACCTGTGGCCTCTTCAATAAGAACTAACAGCTTAATCAAGCTGACCACATTACTCTGCTCTGTGAAAGCAGTTGCTCAATAAATGTTTATTTCAGTAATTTGAATGGAACTGAATGTTTCTTAAAGTTGAAACTCATCTGGGCCAGAATTAGTAAAAAGTCCCAGGCAGCTTTTTTTTTTTTTTTTTTTCCCAAAACATGACTTTTCTGTTCCAATAAACCTATTGCCATGGAAAATCCCCTGCTCCCACAGTGTGAAATCCAAATACAGGGATTAGAAACAACGGCCTTCGTAACTGACCTTAGCTGCTCTGAAATTGCACAGGGAACAAAAGCAACATTTATGGTGACAGGATTCAAACCATCTGCCCCTCATGGAAAGCACATCCGAAGCCCACAGCAAAGGCAGAGTGTAACCCATGCAGACCTTTAAGATGGGACAACTGAGTGAAAGACTAAAATTCTGAAGCATCACGGCTGTGCTTCCCTTAAGACTATGTGTATCACCTGCATAAAATCACCAGAAATCATCTCTGGAGCTGAGCGCTGGGCTCTCCCTCACCTTCCAGAAGCCAGCTACACGTCCTTCTCTTCCCCTCTGCACCCCGTCCTGGAGAGAGAGTACCGCTCACCACGGCAGCACGGAGCTTATAAACGGCCAACTTGCTCCCAAACCCCTTCATTTTGGTCTTTTGCTCCTCACGCTCCAGATTATAATCTTTAATCTATAAATCTTCAATTACGCCATCAATGTAAACCACAAGGAAAGTGCGCTCTACTCCTCAGCCTCTGCACAATTCTCACGATTGGCCATCCCAATACGTCCTTCCTCTTATGTCTCCACCCTTCGTTCACTATTTATTCTTTGGTAACTGCTGATCAGAGTAACTGATCAACGACTGTTCTTCTCTCACACTATACTAGGGTCCAGGGCAAAATTGTCTGGTCTAGCCTCATCTAGCATCTCCCGATGGGAGATCCCTGTGTGTGTATGTCGGTTGGGCACATGCCCCATGAGGCAGCATCCTGCACTGTGTCTGCCAGTGTGAGGTCTCACTGTCTAGTCCGGCTGAACCAGCACTCTAATTCAGCTCACTGGCTTCTCTCCTTTCACGGCGGCCACCTAACAGAGGTTCTTTTCATCTCATTGTGCACTGAACTTCAAGCCTTCTACTAAACAGCTCCATATACCAAGGATGCTCTTTTCTACTCATCTCCTTAATTAGATTTTTCTTTCATGCAGGAAATACTGGCTTGTCTCTTAAATGTACATAATTTCACCGAACCTCTGTGATGTTATAAAGATTTACAGTCTATTCATAAATTTATCCAATGACTGTATTTAATTCTCACACATACACTTGGACTCTGTGCAAAAACTGTGGCTGGGCAATTTTCAAGAACATCTTGGACACTGAATGATCTTCATGTGGATGATAATTTAAAGGGAAACCAAAAAAAGTTTGGTTTGTGAAGTTGAAGCCATCCCCAAACCTGGGCAGTATTACTTCATGAGATTAGAAATCTCTTATTTATGACATCCTTAATTTGAGAAATGAGTAAAACAAATGAATTAGAAGTAGTTTTGCTTGACATTTGCATTGATGTTATAATATTGATTCCCAAATGCTAATTGATTTGGAAGAGTTAAATCTATCTTATCCAAAGAAATACAGCTAAGAATGTATTTGCTTAAGCTAAAATGCATTACATAAAGTAATCTGGAATGCATTTTAGAAATTACACAGCCTGCTCTTTCTCAAAGGATCATTTTAATAAGCGATTGTTTTAGTCTATAATTTACAGCGGGGACCACTGTTCTTTATCATTACAGTTAAGCCAATAGATCCTGCTATTCTATTATATAACCTGAGTCTATTTTATAACCGTATTGTTTTATAAATTCTCTAATCCTTAAGTGTCAGTAGTCAGTGTATTACAATATCTGAACAAAGAAGTTAGTTTATGCTATTCTTCCCAAGTTGACCCGAAATGTTAAAGTATTTTGAGCTGTGCTATAGAATTATGCAGGTGCTTGATACATAGTGTGAGCTCAATAAATGGTTAAGAGTTAAAGTCATTAATGAACATATATGATACCACAGATACATTGCAGAATTGATTGATTATGCATTCTTCATAGAGAGAAAAATCTCCATTATCAGGCATAAGCTTGGGAATCCATAAGAGCAGATTTACTTTTTTAAGGGCTTCTTACTCAGAAGTAGAAAATGTTTGTATAACAATCTATACATTAAATATAAGTTCCTCTCATTCTAAATGAGGAATCTGATACTAAAATTTCCAGAATATTCTCATGTAAACACCACCATGGCAGAAGTAACTCTGCCCTGTGGCTATGAGATGAAGAGGGCAGGTGACACAAAACCAAACACAAACAGCACAACAGACATCATGCAACAGGTTTTCAGATATTTAACGTCTGGGCTTTCAGATGGCATTGTGGTGGGGAAGGATCTAAGATAACAGCAACTATTTTTATTCCAATGCAGTCACTTTTAAATGTAAAACTGCTGAATCACATGCAGGTGTCTTTCTGCAAACGTGTTTGCAGTGAGGCCTGTATGGGGGAGGTTCCGGAGGGGCAAGCTGTGCAAATTTGAGACTGCATTGTTTTATTTGCAATACCTCACTTTGAAATATGTGTCAAGACAGAATGTGTACGGGTACAACATGACCTATGATATGTACGACGCATTTTTTTGGTCAAGGAAATGATATACATATATGGACGACATTTTCTTGAGTGTTATACAAGAGCATGTTGATTTATTGTTATCAAAACTTATATTCTTCTTGTGTGTGTGTGAGGAATTGAACATAATTTTTGATATATAAGTTTAATGATTTCTTGGCCTAAGAGATAATTATTAAAAATTTTGAACAGATACATTTTCCCCAATTTCCACCAAAAAAATAAATGATGATTATTTAAAAAAAAAAAAATGAGAGAGAAGGAGAAAATTCCCACTGTGTAACTAAAGGCAGGTAAGACAGATTCAAGAAAACAACAATTTTGGTTCTATAAATCACACACACACACAACACAAAATTTACAGGGTTCTGATTACATACAAATGGTTTATCCACATTAAATTTATTTGATAACATCAGAGTCAGTTAATTTAGGTTTTGCATAAATAAATATTTCCTAGATGTGCTAAAATACTGATAAAGTTTTTTCCTGTAGTCATTCATGCATTTACCACCTAGAAATTGAGCCCCTACCATGTGGCAGGCACAAAGCAGTATCTCTGAACTCAGGGCAGCCACTTAATAGATATCGTTGAATGAACAAGACCTCATGGCCTAGTTTGGAAGGGATACATGTTCAAAGGTGGCTTCAGCAAGAATAAGAGAACAAGGAAGCAATTCTATAAGGCTGGAGAAGAAAACAATACCATCCTGAAGAATGTTGGGCCATGCTGACTTACTGAACTTGATCCAAAGGGAAAGAGAGTCATGCAATGGTTTAGAGCAAGGGAGTTATGACACAACCTGCTAGTAGTTCATCAAAATCAACGGTTGAAGCTGAGCACGCAGCTGCCTAGGTAGAGATAAGTTCTAACTGCACAGCTAAGTGGCTGAGTCCAAGCCTGTCACTGCGAGCAGAAGTGATGTACCTCCTCCTTACAAGATGCGTCTCTCCCTGCTCTCAGGCTTCCTGTTCCCTTCCTCTGAGCTGCAATGCAGATGCCTCACAGTGCCCTGGGGAATGACAGAGTAATGCGATAGAAGGAACCTGGGCTCTGATTGATGCTGGGGAGCAGAGCTGCCCTGTCAACCAAGACCAGCTACATGTACATGCATCAGAAGACCCTTGAGAGTGGGGGAAGCAAGGAAACACATTAGGAGACTCTTGAAGAAAATCTGGCAACAGAAGATGATGGTCTCAACGATAGTGATGATCATGGGCCTGAAGAAAATTGGATGGATCCTAAAGAGTCAGGATTGACAGGATATTGTGACTGTGTGGGGAAAAGAGAGAGGCTGGAGCCAAAGTGAATTCCAGGTTTCTGGCTGTGGAAATGAAGAAATGATTGTGCCACTTATTGTGTTGGGCCACCTGGGAGGAGAACACTGGGAGAGGGGAAAGAGTGAATTAAACTTTGGAGATGTCTTCAAGGCGCACTGTGGGATGTCCAGGAAGGCTGTTGGACAGGTGGGTCTGCATCTTAAGAAGAGGAGGATGAGATTAGGATGGTGAGAGAGAGCATACAGATGGGACCCAATCATGGGGCCCAGTGAACACCGGCAAGAGAAGAGTGTAGGACCCCAAGTCCCCTAAAGTAACAGGGCATATATAAAAGTCTCATTTTGTCTCAAGCTTAGAACAATCATCAGGAACTCCTATTACCCTAGAGTGATTTACTAAAAATGCTGAAATGTGGAGGCTCAGCTCTCCACACAGCTGAGAGACTCCCAGAGCAGCACACTTTTGAGTTCTGACCATTTTCTTGATTGGTTATTGATTGTCTTTCTGTCTGTTCCCTGCTGCGAGGGGTTCCCTCTTGTATTTGGAGTCTTCTAGTAATCCTTGAGTTTCTTCTTCCAATCTGCTGTGACCTGGAAACAACCTGTTAAAACTTGGTGGAACTGTGTAAAAACAAGAGAATCAGTCTCTGGATAAGCACCTGTAGGTGTCTCCTTGAGTAAAATTTCTGAGTTTTATTGTATGAAAATTTTTTACTTTATCTTAGCTGCTAACAGGTCTTTTCAGTTCCTCTCTGAATCCTGGCAGTATTTTAGGAAGACGAAGTAACAGGATAAGGTGTCTCCAAGAAAAGCAAGTGCTAGGGAATATAACTTGAAATCAGGTTTGGGGTTGAAGGTTTATAACCTGCTCATCAATGTCATTAAGGTTTACTGTTATCAATTCTTTTACATACATTGAAACTTTATTATCAGCTGTCAATAATCTGCCACAAAAATTGTTTATCGGGCCAATCCCCCAAAATGTACCTACACGCCAAAGTGGCACTTTCTATGTGAACAACAAAAATATCTAACTATATTACATGTTTTCAATCCAACTGTTCTGAGCAAACATAAAAAAAGAGTATGTTCAAAATATTTTTAAACATATACAAGAAAATAAACCTTCACTAGAATAATTTTAATTTGTACCAGGCCTCAATTTTTTATTTCCCCAAATTTTTATCAACTGATGGTCAAACTTATAGTCTATTAGGATATCCCCCTTTATTTTCAAATTACATTTTTCTTGGATCAACATATTTTCCAAGCCAAACAAGAAACTTACATGTTTAAATTTGGAATCAAATATAGGCCTGCTGGAGCCAGATCTACAGGTCAGGTGCCTCATTATTTGTTTGCTGGCTTCGGACTTTCCAGATCCTCTTTCTCCACTAAAACAAAACAGAGGGAGAAAACACAAGTTTACTGTTTTGGAGAATAGTAAAAAAATTAAATACCCAAAGATAATTCTTAGACGTGAAAGTGGTGAGAAAATGATATAACTTTGAATAAATTTACGGTATCATTTAACTCTTTCATTTGATTCACTCATCCCAAATATTTAGTGTATGTATATACATATATATATATATGTATATATACGTATATATACATATATATATATATATATATATATATATATATATATCCTATATCATGAGCCCTATGGTGTTTTAGATGCTGGGACCACAAATGAATGTGATGCAACTTCTGCCATCCTATATCTTACAGTGTAGACCCACACATGTAGGTGAATTACAGCAGGAAGGCGTTAGGCTGAAAATAAAGACACCATCCACTTGCCCTCAGCTTCATAAGTGAAAGTCGGTGAGCTGGTCCCAAGGTGACAGCCCTCTACCGTGGAGGGGCATGTGTTAGAATCACACGGCCTGGCCTTGTTAGATCTTTCTCCGCCTTCCAGGAAAGACACTGCATCTTCCTTGGAAAAGTCATTACCTCTTTCTGAGCTTTCCTTCTCTTTTCTCCGAAATAAACATAAAGCATGCAGCTGCTAAAACCAAGTTGGTAGGATGGTCAGATGTGACTAGGCGAATAGAGTGCCTGGCATGCAGCAGATCCCAAGATGGCCTGTTTCCTCTGGAGGCTGCTGGCAGTTCTGACATCCTATGTTTTCCATTTTCCTTGAATCTGGAAACAAGCACTAACCAAATTTGCTATTTCTAATGAAAATACTTTTGATATTTCCCAAGCATACTTCATAACTTACCTAATTTCTATAAATAACTGTATTATATTCCTGACACTACACAAATTTTAGGGTTAACATAAAATTTCTGTACAATAATTACTATACCAAAGTGGTCTGAGATAAAATAAGGTTTCTACTGCATCCAGATGGAATACTCATAAAAACAGTCTTTATTCATCTAATAGCCAAAAAATTGAAAAAATATATAAAGCCTTTTAATAATGCTTTCTCGGGTTTCTCCCTTGAACATTTATTCTAATAAATTTGATTAAAGGGTGTTTGCCAGAAAAGAAGAAGCTGAAATTGAATTCTTTTCTTTAAGTCTCAAGTTGTTAACGAATGCTTCTCTTCTCCTCATCTGGGCTGACCGTAAACATTTAACCACATTCAGAACCACCACCAAGCAGCCTCAGGAGAGCTGGTGACAGCTACCCACACATAACAAGCAGCTCCTTTTCTGGGTTCAAAAACCTTTTCTTTTAACCTAATTTTAGAGTAGAAACAACCTAGATCTTTCATGGTGAAAATCTAATTTCTACCATTATATTTGTTGTTACAAAAATTCTATTACCCAGCAAAATAGTTTGATGTTTCATGAATCTTGTTTTTATAGAGATTTTGCTTGCATTCATGCAGGGATCGATCTTGAAAATACCATTTTCCTTTTGAAAATATCGCTTATTGTTTCAAATGAAACTTACTGCAGGCCTACCACATGCCAGAGTCTATGTGAGGCTTCAGGGGTACAGAGGTGAAAAGATACCGCTCCCTGTGCCATCTGCTGGGCATACTCTGCAGTAAACACTAAGTACATACATAATGTATAATTACAATCCCATGGGGCACAGCGCCTGCAGGTGAAGGAGCAGGTGCATCTCCTGGAGGGAACCAGGGAAGACTTCTGGATGAGGTGAGAGTTGAGCTGATTCTAGGACAAGGGGTAGCATAGATGGCAGCATTTATCCAACACTAAACACTCATCCAAGATTTCCCGAGCACCCATTGAGCAACCTGAAATGGACAGTGAGTCTAGAGTGGTGAATGAGGCTGACACAGTCTCTGCAGGTATGGAGACCCAGAGGAGTATGAGGGTACGGGGCTGACCTCGTGGTTAGGTGAGTCCCTCTCCTTTCTCCCCATCATTGTACTCACTCGATTACCAGATGTAGGCGTAGAGAAAATGATCAACTCTCTTAGCTAGCTAAAGTCACATGCATTTTAGCCATCTCATAAAATCTGAAAATGGCCACATTTCATTTAAATTTTGAGAATACAAGGAAATAAAAGAAAAAGTGGGATATGACAGGCTTGGCTCCAAAGGATATCAGGTTAAAACTAAAAATCTTAGTTCAACTTGTTCAAGAAACATTCCTTGATCTGAAAATCTAAGTCTATGATTAACATAGAAACTGACAGAGGATTTTGGGTTGTGACAATCATGGACCTAGACTCTGAAGCTTATTTGAACAGTCTTGCCTGCTGAACCTGTAAGCGACAGAGGCAGACCCTATATTGTTTATTTCACAAGTTACTTGTGTGTTCAGCATATAACATTAATTTAGGTTTGCTCAGCATACTATTAGGATAATGGATATTTGTCATACATGCTCAAACAATTAATTAAAACCATCTATCAAGGCCTTCAGGAAATTAAAAGTAAGACAGATTATGATGGACTCCAAACTCTCAGTTATAACCCAGGACAAAGGTCGGAAAATTATTAAAAACCATTCTTCAAGATGAAGCCTTGTGTGCTACTGGGGCCTAAAATTATCAGCAAAATAAGAAATAAAATTAAAATTTGGAAATAAAATTAAAATTTTTCTGGCCTAGTACTAAGTTATAGAACATCTATTCCAGGAATATTTGAGTTTTTGATCCACAATCCTAAAAATTATCCTTTGTAAATGCTAGTTATGAGACACAATAGGCACTCCATAAATGAATCTTTAAGCCATATATTTAGTTGAATCCTAAATTTACTAATTTTAATGATAAATGGAGGAAGCCATATCTTAGTCAATACAACCAAGCAGGTAGAGAAGTGACATGAAAACACCAATCCTGAAAGAAGAAAGAGAATGACTAAAATAGGCAGTCCTTGTGATCCCAGATTTGTTCTTTGATTCTGGATACCAGTACCAGGTGATACCCTCTTGAACCTTGAATGAAGAATTCTTTTTCTCAGAATAAGTGGTTGATACACGGCAACTTTAGCCTTACAAAATGTCCCAAAGGAATACTAGTTCTTTGGAATATTAACAAGTCCTAATGGAAGAATAATTCCATGAGCAAATACACATATAACTCATTGGGTTAAATAAAGATAAACAGGTTTCTTTACAGAAAGAACTTGCTAGACATTGTGAACTCTACAATAGGCAGATTCCCAAAGAATATGGATCCATTGGCTCCTCCAAGATTTGCTAAAGACCAGTGTCTTTCATAAGCCATGAGCAACAGCTGGAGTGCTCTGCTTTAGAATCAAGTGAATTCAATAAGAATTTAGATAAATCCATGGATTTGTGACTTTTATATTAGGGGAGATGGGGTGGGCTGTTGAAAGCCTCCTTAGGTTAGCAGCAGGAGGCTGGTAATGCACTGGTGTCTGGCTATTAGAGTGGTTCAGCCTCATTCAGGCTCAGAAGCTAGACTACAGGGCTCACATCCCTGACACACCATCCACTAGACCTTACGCTAACTAATCATCATTTACTAATTCATACCATTGGGCTCAAATCCCAGATTCATTATTTACTAATCATGAGATCCTGAACCAATTAGTTAACACTTCTAAAACTCAGTCACCTGATATAAATAATGGTGACAGTAATAATAACAACAATAATAATATCTGTCTTATAAGGTTGCTAAAGCAAAAAATAAGATAATACATGGAAAGCATGTAGTGGAGGGTCTGACACTTAGTAAGTTCTCAATAAATATTAGTTGATACTATTGTCAACACTATTATACATACCCCACAATCTTAGGATTAAAAAAGTGTTTCTCTCTTTTATCAAAGTCAGACCAGAAAACTCAACAGACAAAGCAGATGAAACTAGAATTGCTTGATTCAAGAATGGGAGGGGCTACCCCTCCAGTGCCTCTCTTACCCCTGGACACTTCCCAAGAAGTGTGAAAACTTGCACGCTATTTTGAAAATTAGAACACTGAAGTTTGCTACTCATCCGTCTGACCCTCCATAGAATTTGTGATCAAATCAACAATGTAAAAGTATATAAATAAATGCTTATTTAAATATTTAAATGTCCTGGGACTCGATCCAGGTTTCCATCCTCACAGTCTTTCATTTCACATTGACTTGGGTTGTGCAACGCTTTATTTACATGGTCAGTTTTCAACTAACAATACTGACGATACCTAAGGCAAAGCCATGAGTATTTACAGAAGTCTCCCTCACACTGAGGTTTGGCCTAATATAAAACATAATTCTCAATGCAGACTTCATTGTAATACCTAAATATTTCTTTACCCCTCTATTAATACATAATCATATTTCACTTCCCCTTGTGGCACACTTTTTTTTGGTGTGAAGAATTTTTGCTCCTATGTAACTCATCCTCCTGAGCATCGTAATACTTATGAGCTAAAGTCACCATTACATTTTTTTTTTTTTGTGAGGAGATCAGCCCTGTGCTAACATCTGCCAATCCTCCTCTTTTTTTGCTGAGGAAGACTGGCTCTGGGCTAACATCCGTGCCCATCTTCCCCCACTTTATATGGGATGCAGCCACAGCATGGCTTGCCAAGCGGTGTGTGGGTCCGCACCTGAGATCCGAAGCGGCGAGCCCTGGGCCGCCGCAGCAGAGCGCCCGCACTTAACCACTTGCGCCACCGGGCCGGCCCCACCATTACATTTTAATAAAAAATGACTTTGGGTGTATAACTTTGGTGACATACGAGCAAAGGTAAGTACCTAGCAGCAGGTGGGAAAACACATTTACAAGGTAAGAAGCTATATTTGGGGCAGTACCACCTCTTGGAGAACTGTGGTACAACTTCACTAATATGGGGTGCCTTTCTTTCCCTGTGTTTTCTGTTTGAAAGCAAAAGCACTCTGGTTCTAAGTTGTAAATCTTCAAAATGAATTGAGTTTCAGGTTAAGTGTGTCGATATTGATCCAGCCACACCTGGGGCTATTTCTAATAACAAAGATGTTTCTCCTTTGTAAGGAATCAAACGTACTTATTGCAAAGACATCCTGGACTGCAAACTGCTGAGGAAGTAAATAAACGTAAACCGTAAGGAAGGAGGACAAAGTTAACGCCAAGCCCCAGGGCAAACCTGAGCATCTGCGCTGGGGTGAGGGGTGGTTCACCTGAGAATGAAGCACTGGGGCCGCTGCTCCTGGAAAAGCTGGTGAAAGGCTCTCTCCGCGCAGGAGAAGATGTGAGGGGGCAGAGAGGAACAGGGCTGCCCCGTGCTGCTGAGGTACAGCTGGGAGACCTGCAGGACAGCGCAGCAGAAAGACAGAAATCTCTGTGAAAAGGCTTCAGGATCCTTTACCTCATGCTGCAGTTGACTTATTTCCAATACACAGAAGTGAAGAAATCTCTAATTTTGAATCTCATTTATAACTACAAAACATTTGCAACATTATGCCTTTCTCATCACATTTTAAGCATTCATAATGACAAAACAGCAGCATACATGTGATCCTTTGTTACTTGGTTCACAGGCTTTAACTTATTCTCCTGGCTTTAAGAAGAGCAACTTACAAAAATCCAGTTTAATAGATATCCATGAAGTAAACTAAAACTGTGGTAATTTACATCAAATACAATTTCTCTCAGCAACATTTAATTCCAGTAACATAATATAGCAAGGATTTTTAATTTGAATACAAGGCAGTTGCAGCTAAAATGTATGTGAATTTACAAATTTCTCAGAAAAACAAAATTTAATTAACCTGATTTTAGTGACACAGTGATTTATGATGATTGCCATGGTGATTCAGTGCCCGTATTTTTAGTCCTTTTGAGATTCTAGTGAATTCCATTACATTAGAATAAAAACTAAACGATAGGAAGACTTCTGAGTCTTGAAGAAATATCAGACAAACTTAATTTTTATTTTACAAAATAACTGGCCTGTATCTTCCAAGATGCTCCACATTGAAGATTAAGGACCTGGTGGTTCAATGCACCGTGTGACGGTGGCCTGGATCTTTGGCTAACTGGGCATTACTGGGATAGTAGGAAAGAACTGAAGGAGGCCTCTTGATTACACGAGAGCAGTGCATCAGTGGTAATTTCCTGATTTTGATGGTTGTATGGAGGTTACACAGGAGAATGCCTTTGTTTGTAGGAAACACACAACCCACATATTTCAAGGTTGATGGGACAACACGCCTGCAAGTTATTTGAAAATGGTTGAGGAAAAAAGTCGTTTGTACTATTTATCTGCAAATTTTCCATGAGTTTGCAGTTATTTAAAATCATAAGGGCAAGAATTTTTATAAGTAGAATAAATGATCTACAGCAACAATAAATAGTTGGATGAATTTCAGACATAACGTTGAGTGGAATCTATCAGATACATAAGGGAACATACTGTAAGATTCCGTCTACATAACCGCTGCGCACGCTCTGCTTTAGTGGCCTGGGGTTCTCAGGTTCGGATCCCCGGTGCGCACAAACGCACCGCTTGTCAAGCCATGCCGTGGCAGCGTCCCATATAAAGTAGAGGAAGATGGGCACAGATGTTAGCCCAGGGCCAATCTTCCTCAGCAAAAAAAGACGAGGATTGGCATTGGATGTTAGCTTAGGGCTAATCTTCCTCACACAAAAAAATAAATAAATAAAAGAAATAAAAGTCAAGCAAAGACAGAGGTGAACAGGCTGTGCGTCTAATCAATACATTACCAGTATTTTATAAATGACTCTTACAAATCAATAAGACCAACTGGAAATGAAATAGAAAATTGGCTGAAGAATATAAATGGAAAAGAATGGCCAATAAATATGAGAAAAGATGCAGAAACTCTCTAGTAACTAGAAAAATGCCATATATACTTGAAATTTTTGTATTTTTAATTATTCCAAAATTAAAAACAAATATTAAAAATAATTAATGATAGTGATGTATACATTATAATTCATAAACCAACTAAGAGTTTTAGCCCAGCTTTTTTCTCTTGCAGGACAAATATCTGGTTTTTTTTAAACTTGGTACTAAGACTATTTCACTTCTTCCGAAGTCCAACATGGACCTAATATAACTTTGACACAATGCTTTTAAACTCAACCTACTTTGTCAAATCCTGCTGAGGATTTCATTAGATGTTATAAACAAAGAGAGACAAGAGACCCAGGAGTGTAGATGGGTCCTATTCTGTTTCAAACCTGTTTGGGGTTACATATTCTCTTTAGGCTAATTTTTACTAGAGATTAGATGTGGCAATGGATCTTAAGTGCCTAAATAAAGTTTTTTCATGATGATCAAACTAATAACCTTTCTCAGCTTCCCTTTCTTGTAAATCTCCTTTTCATGTGCTATTAGAGTTTATATTATAGAATATTCTATTGCTACCACTTGGTAATACTTTGCTTGATGCTGACTCTATGCTGTATAAGTAATGTAAATGTGAAATAATAATATTAATAATGTATTTTCTATTTAATTATTTCTATATAACCTTGAAGAGTTTCACTCACGCAGTTCTAGTTTTATGAGTGACTGACAAGCTATCTGACTTTATATTGCTTATCATTATTATTATCAATATTATTGCACATTGTTATTTGGCCCAGCAAATACTGTCAGGGTCAGCCACTTTCCTTCCCACATGCCTTCTCTCCACTTCACCTATTCTATCCTCATCTGCATCATTTGGGAACAGGAGGATTCTGGTCTGTGAGAATTTTAAGTGCTCTGTTTTAGCTCATAATGAGATGGCATCTCATCAGCCTCATTTGGGGTTCTCTTTGCTGGACTCTGGTTCCATTGGATAAGGTCCTTCTCTATGGATCATTTCCCTCACTTTTTCCACTGTGCATGATGCCTCTAAATAAACTGCCAAGAGATTACAGGATTCTGCTGCATTCTGATTTCTGAAGCCAACCATGCAGTTCCATACCTTATGAGAGGGCCATTCACAAGGCCCCAGTGTCAGGATCCTGGTAACCTGTGGAACCCCCCTGATGCCAAGGGCTTGACTTGGCATAGATGGTATGTTGGTTTCACACTAAAGTATAAGTCACTCTACTTGCCTGACTAGATTTTCTACTCATTATTTATATACCTGTATATAGGTGACATATTCTGAAAAAAAATGTGCTCGTTTTTGCACAGGATCAAATATAATTTAAAAAATATGTGCCTCTGGGCTCAGCATTTGTGTCACTGAGAGTAGTCTGTCCTGCATTTGCTCTGGAGTTATATGACCTGGATTTAAATTTGTCTCTGCCAATCATGGAAGGCTTTGAAAAACGTATTTAATCTCCTTTAGTCTCAGTTTATCCATCTGAAAAGTGGAAATAATAATTCTTAGAGGGTTGCCTTTTGAGCTAAATGTGATAAGTAAATCATATTTATGTGTACTGCCCTTTGTAGCAGGCCTGCCATGTAATAAAGCCTAAAGAATGCTAGCTACCGTCTTCCTTCCCAGCTCTACTCTTCCATAGTTAATAAGCCCTGCTCAGCCACTCTAGCTGCTTGTCAAACTCGAACATGCCTGGCAATGGGAATATTAGGAGACCAACAGCAAGTGGAAACTGAAATTAAACACAGCCCTAAGCCTGGCATATTACACAGTAGACGCCATATTACACAGCGGGAGAGCTTAATCTCACTGCCAATTAGAGGCTGAAAGGAGAATGAGTACTGATCAGCTTTGTATCATGTGTACTCGAAAATACAATCTTGAGAAATTATCTCCAGGTATTTTATCCTGAATGGTGTCACTATTTTGCACATCGAGATTTCAAGATGATGCATCTTCGGTTTGTAAACTCCACAGTAGAGGTAACAGTAAGAAAGATCTGAGAAAGGTCTCGATATTGATGTGTGAGGGGCCAATGAATATTTACTGCTGAAGTGTTTACTCCCATGACATTGATTTGTTCACTGGTTTCCACAGTGATATAAACATCCAAGATGTTCATCCTTTCTGATCACTTCTTCACCAATACATTAGACCTGGTTCTGGCGGCCGCCATCTTCCCTGTCATTGCTGTCTCCCCACCCCCTCATCTCCCTCTCCCCCTCCTTCTCCTGTTATCATCTCCTTTGCTTTCTACTCTTTTTCTACCTCATTCTTAAACATGGTGCAAATCCAAGAAATCTTACAAAATGAAATATCTATGTGAATTATTCCTAATCTTGCACCCAATATAGTATCTCAACATTATTTCAATTTAACCTCCAAAAACTTCATATGTTCACCTGAACCTGGTTTTTCCTCATGAATTTCTTTTTTTTTCATTTTCTTTTTTGTTATAGACATCCTTACTCTCCCAGACTCGCAAATTCAAAACCTGTGTCTTCAGCAGACCTTCTCCTCTTATTCATTCCTCAAATAAAATTACTCTGTGGATATTTCTTATTGTCTTTTCACAGACTCACTCAACTTCTCTTTCTGCCCACTCCTAGAGCCCCCATATTAGGCCCTGATAACGTTGCTCTTGGATTAATTTAGTTTATACCTATTTAGTCTTCTTGCCTAAATGTCTCTTTTTCTCAAACTGATGGTAACAGACTAATAAACACTATTTGTATCAGACTTGTTTTTTTATTCCCAATGTTTCTTTATTTTCTACAAATAAAACCCAAACTCTCTAACTTAGCTTTATAATCTAGGCCTAAACCAGATTTTACTTATTCAACTTTTTGAACTTCTCGCTGTTATCAAATTACTCTGCGCATTCGTCTACATGGTCTTATATTTTTTCATCTCCATAATGTGGCTCTAGACAATTCTCCAAAATACACCTCCTCTCCCCTCACCAGAATCCTACTCATTCTTCAAGACTGAAATTCCTTTCTTAACCTGATACCTGACACTTGTCAATTAATAGTGTACCCTCTATCTTGCTATTACTGCCCTCAGCTACAAGTGAAGTCTGTGATTACTTTTTTACCATTATTTATGTTTTGTCTCTACAATGTCTATGCAGTTCTTAAGTACAAGGAGACTCCTACTTAGCATCCCTAAATATTGAATACAACATTATATTTAATCGACTCAATTAATGTTTGTTGATTTGATGAAGCATTCTTGTTTCTGATCATAAGGTTACTTTTTTCCTAAAGCCTGTTCAGAAATACCTGCCAACTTCTCTGTTTTCTCCTTCTCTACCTCTTCATGCTTAAAATGAGTGATGTTATTTGCCTTCAACATAAATGGGAGGCACAATAATGAACCCTTCCCTTTGGTTATACTTCATTTAGAACTGTCTGCCTCCTGGCCCAGTAAGTGCCACTTCTCTCAGTGACTGTTAGCATCAGATCAACACTGCTTACAGCAGCAAGCCATCTAAGGGACAGGGCTGCTTGCTGTCATGCGTTTATATTAATCTCAGAAGGAAGTTTGCCACAAAGGCTGTTCTACATCCATGATCAATGACCTGCTAGAAATAAAAAATGAATATTGTGCAAAGGCCTAATATAACACAGTTAATGGTAACAAAATAAAAGTGAGACTCAGATGGTGCAAGTGGAGTTTTCCTTTTTAACATGAAACACAGAAGTCATTCTCCCAGTCTGTACAATCTTACAGATATGATCATACTCAATGTTCTATCGTCTTCTTTTATTAAACCAATCAGGACGGTATGAAACCAAACAAAAAATTTATCATTTAAAATAATAAACATATATATAGTTATAATCAATAAACACACAAAAAGAAATGAAACTTTCTCTTGTGTGCCCCATAGGACAATAAGATTAATTGTAATGTGGTTGAGTATGCAAGTAGCTGGTTTAAAATTACACGGTACAGATATTACTACAGAGGATGCCCACTGAGTCAACCTAAAAATTAAGTCCCTGTATCTACTTAATAACTATAATTTTATGGGTTATTACTTGTAGAACAGGAAAGTAAAACTATTTGAGTCTACACAATGTATGTGAATTCCAAAAGCACTAGACACTGTTAAATTTCATTATGAAGTGTAAAAAGTGGGTAATTTTACTATAAGCTTTATATCAGTGCATATTTTACCTAAATATATTTATTTTCCTCTTACATTCTATGCCAGAGTCAGTTGGAAATGATGGATATAAAGGATGATACCTATAATTTATATGTTGCAGTCACCATTTTAAGTTTTAATGAACTGTTCTGACAAAAATCCTCAATGCTTTATATCTTATTTCTACATCAGTACAGAAATATGTCTCTTAATGTTGCTCTCCTTATCTCTACTAACGTGTATTTTCAAAAGAACTGCAAATATAACATATTATTTGAAGCCATAAAACTGCCATACTGTTGACACCCTAAAAACAAACCACAAAATAACAAGTGTTTTCCATTACAATATACAATTTAATATGACAGGTAATGCCATACTACAGCAATTTATTGTGTTAAATTTTCCCTAACATTTAAAATTTTACCTCTAGAGCCATAGAAGCATTTAAATAGTAGTTATACCTGTATATATTTTTTATTCAATTATTTAAAACTGACTTTTGCCTCACCATAAGATTCTTGTTGACTCTACAGTCAAACGCGACACTGTAATATAAGCCAGGAACAATTCATCAGAAGCTAACTTTAAATAGCATGTGTTCCCTCCCCAACCCCTGAAAGACACTTACAGAATTAAATAATAACACCACAGAATTCCAACCAAGCTTAGACATTTGAAGGTAAATGATCTTCTGACACCAATGCAATAAAAATAGATATGGCCTATTTTATCATTTAGCTATAATGCAGTAACTGGTATCAGACTATCTCACCAGGAACAACTGTAAAAGCTGGATAAAATACAAATTAAACATCTAATTGGAGGCCTCCGAAAATCACCAAAGCAGCTTGGACTGCAGGGATAGAGATCTTGGAGAATGTTCTTCCTCATAACTTCTTTCTCATCAGACATGATCACTTTGCTGAGTAAAGCTCAGAGGCCTCATAGAAAGTAAATGTAAGTGTCTACAAAGCTAAGCAGAGATTTCGGCAGTCTCACACTGCTGGGGAGACACCAGTTCAAGGTCAGGGCTCAGTAAAAAGGAAAGCCTAGATGGACATCATCCCAGCTTCTCAATTGAGACCTGTAAGGGGGAACGCCTTATGCGTAAGGACAAATAAAAAGTAAAGGGGCCTTAACTGGGTCAAGATGATCTGCCTATAATTTATGCACCCACTAGAAGAAAAAAATCAAAACTTCTTCAGAAGAAAATAACACCATCCCAGCTTCTATAATGTTTTATATAAAAGGTTTGGTATTCAATCAACATTTTCCAGGAATGTCAGTAAATACATCCATGTAATGGAAAACCAACGAACAAAAACACACATACTAGAGACAGACCCTGATATTAGTAGATATTATTATTAGATTAGATTAGAACTATTATTTTCTAGTATTAGAGTTATTAGATTGATAATAATAATTATTATTATTATGAGAGTTATCAGGCACATATTTTAAAATAAATTATTAATGTATTCAAGAAAATAGGTGGCTAGATAATGAATTTCACCAGACAATTGGAATCTCTGAGTATAAAATGGAAATTTTAATATCGAAAATATAACATAACTGATATCAACAATTTAATAGATGGTTTTATCTGCAGAGTCGAAATAGCAGAGGAGAGAATTAGTAACCTGGTCAGTCAGTATATCCAGACTGTAGATCAAAGAGAAACAAATGTAAAATATAGAAAAAAGTTAAGTTTATCTTTTTATAGTATTCATACAGCGAAGAAGAAATCACAATAGGAGAGAGAATATCTTAAATTGAACAATAAATTGTGAAATATCAAAGATGTAGCATTATGTGAAGCTGTGTTGAAAGCAAAATAAAAAGCCTCAAATACTTATTTATAAAAGAAAGGCAGAAAATCAATGATATACCTATACAACTTAAACAACTATCAAATTAAACTCAAAGAAGGTAGAAAGAAGAAAACAATAAAGATAAAAAGCAGAAATCAGTTATAGAAAATAAATATACAACAGAAAAAAATTAAAAGTCAAGATTTTTGCCTTTGAAAAGACTAATACAATTAATAAATTCCTAGAAAATTTATTTTAAAAAGTCAGAGAAGGCATAAATTACCAACATACGGAATGGAAAGAAATCACTCAAAATTATACAAAATTAAAAAAATTTCATTATGAATAATTCTATGCCAAAAACTTTTAAAGATTAAATATAATGAAGAGAATCCTTGAAAAACACAATTATTAAAAACTGACACAAAAAGAAATAAAAATCAGACCAGTCCTATATGTCAAATAATTAAAACCAAAATTTAAATATCTCATATTCCTTTTATGGGTCCAGCAAAATTTGGATAAAATAAGGTACAACAAAGAAAAACCATTTAGTTGCCTGGAATAATTTTCCAAAAGAAATTTCTCTTTTAATTTTGAGAGTCTCATAATTAAAACGGGCAAGTCATTTGGAAAAATGTATAAATGCAATATTATCCTTTCTTATTCCCACTGCTTTAACATCATAGAACTTTTCCACAAAGAGTCATCATGTTCAAATAAGGACTCTAAACCAACTGGTCTTGAATTAGTCAAGAATGCATGGAAAACATAGTCATATATATTTAATTTTAGAAGTCTGTCTAAGTGACTACAATCATAGAAGAAGCACACATTATAAGTGTAAAGGAATCTTCTGATAAAATAACTTTCTTTTTAGTGTTGCCTCAGAATAAATCAAAGCTATTATTATGCAAACTCAATTTAGAACTTTCTGAGAAGGTTGACCTTACCTACTGTTTGGTTTCTCTTCTTAATCAGTCATTTGATACAAATAGGTATGCCTGGTGAGTGCTACTCTACATTATTAAATGATATTTTAAATTTTATACTCACCATAGTGGAATAAATTGGAAGCTCTTTGAATGGGTTAACAAGCAAGAGGATATCCCCAATAAAAGTCTGTTAAAAGAAAAGGATACAAATAGTTCTTGAACCATATAAATAGCACTTTCAAAATTAAAAATCACTGTGAAAAATAGAATAAGTAAAAGTCAATTTACTATTTTGAGAATTGTTTTAAAAGCTTGTAAACAAAGAAATACAAATGTCAAATTCAAATAAAATAAAACCAATAGGCTTGTTCCATGGAACACATAAAAAGTTAAATGATTGAAATCTAAGAATTTCGCATCTTAAAGGGGTATTGTGAGAATCAGACTGAATATAAAATATAAAATTAAAACACACGGCAAAATATGCTGGAGGATGTAAATAGGGAAATGAGTTCTATGTTGCCACAGAATAATAATAAAATGCATAACTGAAAAGTTAATTAAGCACAGAGAGCAAATAAAGATACTTTTTTCAATTAAAGAAGGACCAGTAATGAGATATAAAGGTGCAAAGAACAGATGGAACACATAGATATCAAATAATAAAATGATAGATTTAAACCCAAATGCATCAGTAATTAAATCAAATGTAAAGCCAATAAATACTCTAATTAAAAGGCAAAGATTACTAACTGGATTAAAATACTAACTCTGTGCTACTTTAAAGAGAAACACTTTCACTATAAAGGCGAATAAAATTTAAAAGTTAACGGATGAAGCAAGATATACATGCAAACAATAATAGCAAAAAAGGTAGTTTAGCAATACTCAATTCATAGAAAATGTGCTTTAAGGGAAGAAGCAATACCAGTGATAAAAAGGGACATTTCACAATGATAAAATGATAAATCAATCAGGAAGATACAGCAATTCTAAATTTCTATGAGACTAAAATCTAGCATAAAACATATGAAGCAAAAACAGCTGTAAGGAGAAAAACATGAATTCATAATGATAGTGGGGAATTTTAACAATTTTTTCTTAGTAACTCATGAAATAAGCAGAAAAAATTTTGAAATAAGTAATTACCAAGTTGATCGATTTATTTATACAGAACACTGTTACAACAACTACAGAATATACATTCTTTGAAATTGAACACCGACTAGTTTCACTACCTTTAAAGGATTTTAGTTACACAGAATATATTCTCTGATCATGGTAGAATTAAAACAGAGAGGAATAATGGATACCTAGAAAATCACCAAATGTTTGGAACTTATACATCTGCAAATACCCTATGAGCCTAAAAAAGGAATCATAATGCAAATGAGAAAATATTTTGATTACAACATATTATAACTTGTGAGATGCAACTAAAGGTATACTTGGTATGAAAATTATCACCTGAAATGCATATGTTAGAAAAGAATAAAGGCCAATTGTTAATGATCTATGTATCCATTTCAAGGAGCTCATCAAAATATATCAAATTATGCAGAAAAAAATCAATATAAGAGCAAAAATTAATGGAATATAAAACAAAATCCAAAAGGTGATCCTTTGAAAAATCTAATAAGATAGATCATAACCTAAAAAGACTGACTGAGGAAACGAGAGGAAATGCACACACTACCAATATCAGAAATACGACATGTATATAGGGAGATCCTATATACATGAAAACAGATGAAGAGGATATAAGGAATCATATTTTAACCACTAAGTTTGGATATTTAGATAGGTGGACAACAATCCACCATCTCACCAAAATGAACACAATAAGAAACAGAAAAGCTAACTAGTTTTTTCTCTGTAAAAGAAATTGAATCCATGTCTAAAGACCTTTCCACAAAGAAAACTTCAACTTCACTGGTGAATTCTTCCCAATGCTGATGTACAAAATAAACAAATGTTATAGAAATTATTCCAGAAAATAACAGAAGAGGGAACACTATTTTAAGAGGGTTGCATAAACCTGATATTAAAGCCTAACTAGTATATTTAAAGAAAGGAAAATTACAGGCTGTTCTCTCTGATTAAAATACATGCAAAAATCCTGAACCAAATATTAACAAATTAAATACAGTAATACATTCAACAGATAATATATTTCAACCAAACAGGCTTTATTCTAGCAATTCAAGGTTGGCTTCTTACTAGAAGATCAATTTTGTAATTTATAATACTAAGAAGTAAAGAACAAAAGTCATAGGATCGTCTCAATAAATGCCAAAGACAATTTAATAGCATTCGATGTCCATTCTTTATTAAAAATAATAATTTTGAAAACTATTAATATAATGGAACTTCCTTAATCTAATAAAAAGTAACTCCACTTGTGGCATAGCTATTGCAAACAACTTGCTTAATGATAAGACATTGAAGGCTTTTCTCTGGGATTGGAAATGAGACAAAGATGCTTATTATTGTCACTTCCAGTCATCTTTTTATTGACAATCCTAGCCTGTGAAATGATGCAAGAAAAAAAAAGTAAAGCAGCTATCAAGATTTAAAAGAGAAAAATAAGAGTTATTATTTGCAGACCATATGGCAACATATGCAGAAAATCCACAAGAATCTCCATATAAATTAATATTTACATATGAATTTAGCAAGTTTGATGGATAAAAGATGAATACAAAAGATCAAAATTGTATCTCTACATATTAACCACAAATAATTAGATAATGAAACTTGATTGTTATTTTCAATAATAAAATAACATTTATTATAGCACCAAAACTTGAAAAATGCCTAGAAATAAGTCTAATACAAATGGGCAAGACTTCAAAAAACGTTTCAGAGAAATTAAAGATGACCAAAGCAGGGATATAACATTCCATGAAATGGAAAATCAAATACTTTAAAAATCTTAATTATTCCCAACTAATCTATAGATTCAATGCAATACCAACTGAAAATTCAATTGAAATTGATAATTTGACTTTAAAATATATATGGATCTACAAGAGTCATGATTAGCCAAGACACCTTGAAGCACAAAGTCAGAGGACTTTCTATATATTGAGATTTATTTTATAGTTATAATGATTAGGATATTTTGGCATTGGTTTATAGACAGACAGACAGATTCACACAATAGAAGACAGGTCCTAGAGGCAGACTCACTCCCCACGGTCACCTGACTTATGACAAAGGTGCATTGCAAGGCAGCGGGGAACCCACGTGGGAAAATAGTAATCTTGACCCCCTCCTCTGTAACCACTGTGAAATCATTTCCACACTGGTAACGCACCTTAAATGTTAAAGTTAAAACAACCAAACTGCAGGAGGAAAATATAGGAAAAGACTATCATGACCAAAGCCAAAATTTCTTAAGCAGAACACAATAAGCACTAACCCTAAAGAACTTTGTAAAAATTACAAACTTCCATTCATCTAAAGACACTATTAGAAGTCTAAATTGCAAGCCACAAACTGGGAGAAAATGCTTCCAATACATACATCTGACAAAGAAACAACATCCTGAATATATAAAAACCCTACATGACAAGAAGAAAAAATCAAACAATCCATTTACTTTTAAATGGCAATAAAATTGAACAGGCACTTCACAAAATAAGATAATCAAATGAGCAACAAACACATATTGGTCAACATCATTGGTTACCAGAGAAATTTAAGTTAAAACCATAACGGGATACCATTGCATAACTGCCAGAATGGCTAGAATTTGAAAAAAAATTAATAAAATAAATAATACTGATCATGCTACATGCATAAGACTGTTTATAGCAGCATTATTCATAATAATCAAAAAGTAGAAACAACTCAAAGGTTCCTCAATTGTAGAGTAAATAAACAAGTTAGGATATATTCCTATAGTAGCTTATCATACAGGAATAAAAATGGATAACTGTCACCACAAACCACAGTACAGATGAATATCAGAAACATGATAATGAGTGAAAGACAACAGAGACAAAAGAGAGCATACTGGATGATTCCTTTTATATAAAGTAAAAATACATATAAAATGAATCTATAAACGTAAGTGCCAGAATCTTTTGTAATGATTAGAGTATACTGGGGAAGGGGCTTCTTATATTCCATTTCTTTATGAAGCTGCTGGTTACATAGGCATATTCACCAAATAAAAACTCATCAAGCCATACACTAACGAGCTGTGCATTATTCTCCTCATATGTTGTAATCCAAGAAAACATTTACTTAAAAGAAGGATTGGCCAGTATTTTACAGCCAAGTAAAGGAGAAAAGAAATAAAAGTGAAATAAATGAACCAAAGGGGAACCCTATTCGTGAAGTATCCGAAAATTACTCTTAAATTCCAGAGAAGAAAAACAAAGAGAGAAAGTAGATTGAGGAATAATTGAGAAATCTGCTAATTAAAGAAGATGAAACACTTTAAAATAAAATCAAAATACCTCTAAATTGCATTTTCTACTGAGATATAATTTTTATATTGGCCTAATTACTGAAGGAATTTGAGACTGTTTTTGAAAGTACATTCTGTAATAAACAAAAAATAGTTTATAAAGATGTGATTTGAATGTCAATGACAGTCATAAAGTACGAGTTTATATAGGTCTATACTATATTCTGAAGAGAGTATTTTGATGAAATAGAACCTTTAAAATATACCGCGAAGAAAGAATTTTTTAAATTGTAGAAACCTGGAGACTTCCTTTAGTCCATCTTTCTAATATGTTACTTATTTTTCAATAGCTTACACGTGTTAAGTGCTCAGAAGGGTCTTCTAGATTGAGCGGAATGATACGGAACAAGGCGGCAGGTATGGCATGGCATATCGTAGATGAGCCTTCAGAGAACTAGGCTAGGGGGCAGTATTAGCTTGGGAAAAATGTGTTCATCTACATAATTGCAAATATTCTTGAAGTGAGAGAGACTTCAACTTCTGACAACAGCTTGTCAACTTTCGCCTCTTGAAATGCTCTTAGAAAACCTGCTACATCCATCCAACCGGGTCACCTTGAGGGGAATATTAAGTTAGGTGGCTGAGATGAGCCAGGCTCCATACTTGGCTAATCAGACGTTATAGGAGCTCCTGTATTTATTTTGCAGGTTTTTTTCTCTCTGAGTCTCAGGTTCTACTAGTATGTCTGTAAAGAGAATATCGTCTACATGCTTCTCAGCCATCCATGAAGAGATCTGATGGCACATTCTATTCTCTCTGTTACTGTGGACAATAATTATTCAGGGAACACAGTGCCTTTATTCTGTGCATTTCCTAGCAAGCAAGTGTCTCATCACCTGCAATTCATTTTCTCTTTGACAGTTTGGGAACTTCCTACTGCTACAGACTCTTTGGAAACATCCCAATCTGATATCCAAATGGAATGCTATACACTTAGTTAAAAGAGCAACTTACACATAGTTTTGAAAGATCTTATATAACAAATCAGACTATAGCGAAAAGAGATGACAATCCTGGTTAAAATATTAATTCAGCTGAAATATTTTCTCTTGGCTTTGATGGACCTCGGGGGCAGCAGTGGAGGTTGTATTCTGTGTATATTTTGAAGGTAGGGCTGACGAGATTTGTACTAAAGTCAGATGTGGGGTATGGAAGAAAAACAAGCATCAATACTCTTACCAAGCACATTCGACTGAAAACTGGGAGAATGGGGTTGCCATTAACAGGGATGGGAAAAACATGAAAGGAATATGTAGGGAGGGTGGGTGTCGAGATCAGATGATAAGACTTGAAGATTTTAATTTGTATATGTGGGGAAGGAAGATTTGCTTTTATTTCCAATTTATCATGGACTGATACTTTTGCAAAACACAATAAAAATAAAAGTGAAAAAGACAAAGACATACAAAATGCAAGCCCTGATTCTTATTAGATTTAACAGACAGAAATTAAAACTTGGAATTGCTATAAGAGTTTCTAAACACTTACTCTCATTACAGACCGTAATAAAAAGTTCACATATCCAATGATCCACAGAATATACTTTGAGAAGCACTTATTATTAGCAAATCAATAATGTTTAAATTGTTTGTCTATCCATTACTCATGAATTCAAATACCATAACTTAGAGCACTCATCACAAAATTGATCCTAAACAATTTAGCTCTTCAATATTTCAAGTATAGAGAAAAAGAAAATCATGTCTCACACAGCGGCAAATGTATATTTTACATGAACTTAAGCAAAGTAGGGAATATTAAATCTGATTACCCAGATAGAGAGAGAAACCCAGCAGCAAGATGATCTATGAAGATGATCCACTGCTTGGAGGAGTTAGACCCATGACTCTGATAAACAGGTAGGAAGTATTTGTCATTTAAGATTAGAATCTGCTTGGCCAGGCCTCATGGTGAGCAAAACCAGCATGGCTGCTCTTCTCACTGAGCTCAGAGTCTAACACAGGAGCTAGACATTAATCAAATTACCAATGAGGCATATAATCACAAGCGACGAGAAGTACTCTACAGAAAGACTGTCCACAGTGGCTTAACTTGGAAGATCTGGGAAGGTTTATTTAAAGACTTAAGAATTTTTGAGTGGGAATTTATAAAGCTAAGTATTTCATGGAGGTAGAAAGAGAACTTTAGAAGAAAGAAAAACAGTCCAAGGAAAGTCTCTGATGCAGGAAGGAGGTCAATGACCGGTGGCTGAGAGTCATCAATGATAGCATTTGGGGCCAGATAGTGAATAAGAATTATAGTCAGCTCATGAAAAATGAGAAGCCATAGGAAAGTTTTAAGACTGGGAGTTTCAAGATTACATTTGTTCTTTACAAAAATTACTCTAGTTCACTGTGAGATCAGATTAAAAGGGAATGAAGTTGCCTCTAGAAAGTTAGAAGGCTGCTGGAGAAGGGATGACGGTGGCCTTGATGAGGATGGTGGCCACCGACATGGAGAAAGGTCGATTAAATGGATATTTGGGAGACAAAGCCACTTAAAAAGTGTGAAGGAAATAAAGGGACTCAAAAGTATTCAAGCAGTGGTCTTCTGATAATATAATTAAGAAGGTAAAAAGAAGAAGCAGCAACACAATGCTGGGAAAGGGGAGACAATGGAATAAAAATAGTATACAAGTAACAAGGCAGTAAGAGAGACCAAAGGAATCAGGTTTCACCACTTTATGTCAATGATTCAATTCCATTAATTTTGATAGAACTATTTAATTTTAAGTGTATTTACAGTGGCAGGCAATTTATCCAAGTATTAAGATGTTGCATTGAATTTTCATAGGCTAATCAGCACCTGACAATTTATTACTTGTAAGGAAATCTCAGACTTCACATTTACATGAAAATTACTTAATCAATTTCTCAGTAGACTAGGAAAAAAAGGTGTTAGCAAAAAGGAATAGCAGACGTGCATAATCAGATTTCTCTATAGACATTCTGATTGAATTGCTCTGAGTTGAATATAACAAAATCAATGAGAGACAGAGACAGAGACAGACAGAGAGAGAGAGAAACAGAGAGAGACAGAGATTGAGATTACATGCTGTCTAAATTGTTATGAGTATTGGAAGAAACAACACACATAAACCAGGATAGAACCACAGCAAATCACTTCTCCATGCTGTTTCTCAACTGTCATATATTTGTATCCTATTATCAGAGATGTGTGTATAAATTATTTACTTTACAAACAAAGATATCTCTTGAAAATTTAGGGCAACAATAGTTTCTCTATTCATGCAAATAGAGAGGCAGTCCATGCATAGTCAACTTTTCCTCTTTAGCTTCTTTTTCCAGATCTAGCAGGTTAGGATAAAGTAGATGAAACAAACAGCATTTTTATAAGTGATTTGCAGGTCCTGCTGGTTCTAGCAAGATCTTCTTCCACAGCAATCAGAGAAAGAGGAAAGTTGTCTACCCTCAGGGTATTAACTTTGACTTAACTCTGAAATGTGGATCTTTGCTGAACTTGACTTATAACTGAACCAGAAGAATGAAAGTGAACTCTGAGAAATCCACCTTAAGCTGTCAGCACGAGCAGAAGCAACAATAGTCCTTTACCTGTAATAGCTGCACCACTCAAGGGTGAAAATATGCAGCAAGACAAAAGCAGTGCCAAAGGCAATTTCAAGGGCACTTACGTATATCTGATTGTTCCCAAAGCGCTTCTGAATTTCATAAAGCAGGCTGCCATCGTTGAGCTCACTGAGCGTTGCTAGGTCATCGTTTGGAGCGGGAGGCATTAGCTTGACCTGGGGAAAAAATAAGTAAAATCAATTCTAATTGCTTTCCAATCAACTTTCTTCACAGTTGGATGTTCCAATTTCAATGACACGTCAAAAGTTTAAAGACCACATGAGCTCAAAACTTTATTATACGATGAAATGGTTCACTTCTAAGGAACAAAAGATTCAACAGCTCCAGAGAAACGTATTCAGGGGAGAATTTCTGCTCTATACCCATGAGGATGCACACACACTCACACGCATTTACACACACACCCGAATGTTACCTTACGTCCCTCAAAGTCATTAAGTCTGTCAAAATCATTTCAGCATGTTGACTTTTCTGAGTCTCTACTTATGATTTAGCCAGCTCTGAACTGCGCAGTCCTCTGTAAGACCGGCAGCCGAAAAGCTCGCGTATTTGCAGTGTTTCTGAAGCTAAAGCAAAACTTTCCGTGTTCTCGTGTTACGGCTGTTGGCGTGGTTAGGGAAGCAGGGTGCCCGGAGTTCGGTTTCTGCGTACGTGGAGGAGGAGGCCGGATTTTAACAGTAGACATTAGAATTCTGGCTCGTGATTTTTATTCTGCTCTATGTCACTCTTAAGACTAAAGTAGCCGTGAGATGAAGATAATTCTGTCACAGAGAAAAAAACGCTTTCCTGTTCAATTTAATATAGAGTGACAGAGTCTAACAGCTAGGCAATGTTTCAAATAAAACAAGCATGAATTTGGGTTATTAGATGAAAATCTATCATTTACAACTTAGAAATGGGCATTGTTTAATTTTATGTACATAAGATATACCCTGAAAAGTAGACATTTGATATACTAGGCCAGCTTTGGTTTTCTTATGTCAAACATGGAGGAGCGAAAGAACAAGAAGATTCTTACCTATGCCCCCATGAGTTCAGACGCCCATAGTGAATTTTCAGTAACAGTAAGTTTATGTGTATTATTTGCATTTGTGTCTGTATTCTATATTTGTATTTGCATTTCATATTTGTATTATATATTGTATTATTGTATGTATCATTGCTAAATAATTTGAACTTAAATATTACCGTTTACCAGCTAAATGTTTATGGAGTGAAAAATATTGCGCATTTTTAAAAAAACTAAATTTAAGACTATTTCTCTGACATTAGTAAATATTTCACAAATGTAATCTTTCTCACGAGTTCATAAATTCAGGTCATTGTTTTCCCAGACTGTTTCTAATCCTCATGCATTAATAACAGAGACTCAAATTCCTTACTAAGAATCTCAAACAGTCAGAAGTGGTTTGTTATGTCTTCCAGTGGGAAGGATGTCTCGGCAGAGGGCTCTCTGCATTGGAGATACAACCACTTGTATAAGCGGGAGACATAATATTCCAACAGCAAGATGTTTATTTATTAAAAATTAATTTGTAAAATATTCCAGACGTCAGAAATCTCAAGAACAAGCCTCTCCTCTCCACCAACATGCACACTCAGCCAGCACCTCAATTTTGTTATTTTCTCTGTTTTTGCAGCATTTAAAAGAAACGTTTCAAAATATCTTTCAGAATTAACATGTAAAGAGCATATAACATAGTCTTATCAAAATCAGTTGTTTAACTTTGGGTTAGAGGCATAGCTTTATGGCTTTGATACTGTCATAAACACTTACTTAAATCATTCAAGAGTGGTATCCCAACTGGTACTTGTTGCTGATTAAAATAGACGTCGCAATGTTCCAGGTCTCCTAATATTTTCTGAGTTGTCAAACTCAATTTGGGGAATGTGTTACATCAGTTTTTAACTTTATACACTTAGTTCCACTTGGAAGAGTCTTACAGGCCCAAAGTGCCTCCGAGACTGACAGCTCAGCCAGGGAGGACCACCTGGCCCCTCGGTGGGGTACCCAGCAGTCTTCCCGACCCAGGTGGTTTCTCATTCTGTGTTTTTCATCAGTCATGCTAATTCAGGTAAAAGTCTTACACACTGATTCAAGCTTCCCTACTTTGAATACTGGAAAATTCAAGCTCATCTAAGTCTAAGAAATCAATTATTTGTATTCTTCTGGGGGAACGGTGTTTCCATCCTAGTGGTATGCCTTTCTCTCTGTGAGATCCTGAACATTTTTCTTTCTTAACGTCATTAAGTCAGTTTCAGTTCTCTTATAAAATAGGATAAATAGTGGCAGGTCCCTCTGAGGTGGCTGTGAGAACTAAATTCCTGTGGAGGGCCTGGCACGGTGCCTGCTCTGCGGATAAGTGTGCAGTAATAGGATGCATTGTTACGCAGTTCGTCAAACATCTTGAAAGGACAGTGGACACTGATGGACACTTTCTGCCAGCTTCCCTGAAGGCTGCCTTTGGAGGATGGAGGAGGCAGGCCATTGTGGAGGGCACTGACCTGTCTCTGCTGCTCTCAGCAAAGACGCTCAGCTTCCCTGAAGGCTGCCTTTGGAGGACGGAGGAGGCAGGCCGTTGTGGAGGGCACGGACCTGTCTCTGCTGCTCTCAGCAAAGACGCTCAGCTTCCATCTGCTTTAGGAGCTGGACTCCTCTTTCATATATTTCTATTGGGGGAAGGATCGGCTGCTAAAGTTTAAATTCATTGATACAGCCAACATCCTTAAGTAGGAGATGCAGAACTTGAGGCCCAGAGAGGCCAGGTGACTTCCCTGGGATTACACAGATAATGAGTCAGAAGTGGAAGCTGGGATAGTAACCATTAGGTAACAGCGGAGAAACTCTAGCAGATAATGAAGAAATCTGATAACGTATGTTCCATAATTTGCCTTTTTTTCTTGCTCACCTACTCTTTGCCAGCATTATACTAGTGGTTTAGTACAAAGAGGGAAAAAGGGATGTGGTATTTTCCCTCATAGTGTTTACAGTCTACTAGGGGAGAAGTAAGGACATAAAGAAGAAATTACAACTACAAAAAGTGCCATGAGGGCAAAGCCAGAATGCTCTGAAAAGAGAAAAATTGCACTTTCAATCGGATGGTCTAAGAAGTCCTCCTCGAGGAAGTCACCTTAAAGTTGAAATTGGAAATAATTTCAAAAGGCCGCCCTTAGGGGTGTGGGAGCAGACGGGAAAGGCGCCACGGTGGGAAGGAGATTGGCGTGTGGAGCACCGGATGTTGGCTCGTGAGCTGGAGGGTGGAGGCCGTGGCAGCAGGCGGTGCTGGAGGAGCAGGGGAAGCTTGCAGACCATGGTGGGGGCCTCTGCTGAATTCCAAGGACCATGGGAAGTCACGGAAGCAGTGAGGCAGAGGGCTGACAGGAGCTGCTCCACACGGAGAACGCGATACCCTGGCAGCTTGTGGAATGAAAGGTGGAGGTGCTGAGATCAGCCAACAAGCTCCAAGCAACGTCAGCCCAGCGAGGGGCCTGCGGAGAGGAGGGCAGATTGGACGTAGACTTATTTAAGAGAAGGAGGAGCTACCATGCTCAACTGTGTGCTACTAAATTGCATTGGATTTATGACTTAGGATTAATTTAGACAAAATCGAAGGTTTACTTATATTGACAACTTGACTGTACTCCAGGATCACAGACTTGAATGATTGCCTTTAGATACAAAAGTAATTTAGAAGATAAGTGCAAATGGGTAAGTATGTATTTTCTAGAAATAAACACTACTGGCAAACGTCTTTTTATAGAGAGATACATAAAAGGGAACTTTCATCATCAATTTAAGGATGGATGTAAATATCTTTTCTTTCTAATGTCTTTGCAAACATTTCCCAAAAGTACAAAAACTTATAATTACACATCACACAGATATGCACCCCACAAAAACTAATAATGTTAGTAATACACATATATATACCTATTCATGCATACAAAAATATGATATAAGCCAATAATATGATTGCAATAACCTTGAACAACGCAAGAATAAGACAAAAGTCGCCAGGAAGTTAGCATACATATTTAACTCCCAAAGCAATCATAAAAAGGGGAAAAATAAAGAGCAAGATTTTTTTTCTTTAGAAGTAATGATTTTTACTAAGATAAAATTCTTCTTATAACCACATCTCTAAGGAGTTCAGTGCAAATTTCTTTGTGCATATTTAGAAAAGGCATGCATAGCACCAACAGAAGGCCCGCACTTGTTCCGAGGACCCGGAAAGAGCTACTGCAAACGTCTCTTTGGTATTCTTGAGGATTACCATCTATAGCGGCACAGCTGTCGCATGGGTTAGAGAAAATACTAGGCTGACAGTAAAAATGTGAAGACTCCCAGCCTGTTTGTAGTAAGGAAATGTGACAAATACAGGGTAAGAGTACATGAAAGGAAGAATTCCTTGCATTTACCATCAAGATTCCAAAATGATCAGGAGGGAAGCTTTGACAATCCATCTTAAGCAGGGTTATCAAAGGGACACATTCTTTATACAGATTTCAAAAGCATTGTGACAGCTGATAACAAGTAGAAAAAAATGTCTGTGAATATCTTAATGTTACAGTTGTAGGCTCAATAGTGTACATTATCAATGTCTATCAAACAATTATAACAATCTTTAGAACAGAGACGGGAGAAATATGTAAAAAAAAAATTAACATCCTCTCTAGGACTGACCATAATGGTTCTTATGAAGATATACAAATATCCACATATCTCTCTCTCTCTCTATATATATATATATTTCCCAAAGGAGAGATCTAGAACACAAAACAGACATAATCCAGGATAGAAAGTCAGGAAGAATTTAGGAGAAATGCTTTGAGAAAAAGGGAATTTCAGTTTGGAAATATTCTGAATCCACTGCTGCCTTGTCTCCGCTTGTCTGCACCGCTCTGAGTGCTGTTGGCTTTACTGTGTTGTTTTGATTGTTTGTGATTTTTCTCCCTGAGACATTAGTAATATATGTCCAGGGACTAGAAGTCCAATGGGTAAAAGAGATGATCTGACAAACAAGACAAGAACAAGACCTTGAGCAAAGGTGGTGATGGATTCAGAAGTGAGTAGGAGGAAAGAGGAAATTAGAAGAAGCATGAGGTAACTGGGATGGTCATCACAGAAAAAGGGGTGATAATCTGACAAAATACTTTACTAAGCTTTCCAAAGCTTAAGCCTATCACCATGGTGGGATAGCATTTTCATTGTTTCTCTCTGCTTTTGTCATTCCGTTAGGTGTTTCTTAGATAGTGAGATTTATCAGGCCCTTTCACTTATTCCTCCTTTGCTCGGCTGAGGATTTATGCTTTTGTGTACAAGGATGTTGGCATATCTGTTAACTACAGGAGGAGAATTTTCGCCAGTCTCCGAAATCCCTACGTGGCACGTGCAGCCATGGAATGCAAACTTTCCCTCCTATTTATAGAACTGTCACAAGTCAGTGGGGCTCTGGAAAATGAACCGGGAGCTTGTTGTGCTGTCTCCCAAGAGCACTGGAAACAGAGTAAAAGACACTTGTGATTCTAGGCAATTTGCTTAACTTTCTTTAGTTTAAGTTTGGTCAGTTTAAAACTCAATTTGAAACTTGAGTGTAAGTTAAGTATTGAAAATGGATAATAACTTGCTCACAGTGGTATTTTGAGGATTCAGATAATGCAGGTGAAAGTATTTTTAAGCTTTGAAATGTTAATCAATATAAAGTATTATTTTGTATTATTATTTTCAATATAATTGATTATTATTTAAAAATAATCTGTATTTACGTTGAAAAAAATAAAACCCGGTTGATGTGTTAATTGGAATTACATGAATTAAGAGCAGATAAATTAGTGAATAGAAGGCTTGACCACTCTAGCAAAACCTAAGGTACAGTCTATACAAATAACAATAAAAATAATAAATACATCTTATTGAGTTTTTATTCTGTTCTTGGTAATTGTGCCGTCATTTTATAGCCTTATTGTCATCTTCATAACAACTGCAGTAGGCCAGTACTATGTACCCATTTCAGAGATGGGGCTTAGTGAGGTTAAGGAACTTCCAGTATCAGGAGCAGACCTGAACCAGAGCAAATCTGCATGAATGTATCATCCTTTCTCTTTACTCCAAGGCTAACGTGCCTTCACTAAGCGCAATAAAAATTTGAACTGAATTTCAAAATTGAATTAAATTTAAATAAATACATTCTGAAAGGAATGAGAGGGAGGAAAGGAGGGAAGGAAGAAGTTAAGAAGGTAGGAAACTAGAAAGAGAATGGACGAAGAGGGCAGGACAGGAGAGAAGGGGAATGGGAGGGAAAACAGAACAAAAAGGGGCAAGAAAAGAGAATGTCTTGTGTATTTCTAAGCAACTTAAGAAAAAATCTACATTCTCAGAGGTATTATAAAATCGGATGTTAATTTTGGTAATCATCAGAACCAAAAAAACTTTAAATCAAGCCTTGAATATTCATTTACACAGTTACTATTTGATAAGACCTACATTTCACAAAAATGAAGGAGAGAGACTGCGGTTTTTGTTTCAATTTTTAAAAAATGTTTTACGTTATGTATTTCTCTTTAAAATGTCAATCAGAACTTGATTGCTCTGATGAGCCTATTCTAAAGGCCTCCTGTGAAATGTGAGTGTATATCCAGGCCGTGGACGGTGCTGTTCTTCCTCTGGGGAGAATCACCTAGGCACCTCAGGGCCAAGACCGCACAACAGCATGATGCACACAATGGGAGATGCGGGCGAGCACCATATAGGTAATAAAGGAACATTATGCAGATAATGTATGAACAGAAAACCTAAATAACAGCCACTCCCTCTTTAATAGCAAATAAACAGAACATGATTACAACTGCTTTTAATGTCTAGGATACAATTACAAAGAACTTGTATTAAAAACAGAACAGTCATTCTACAAGGATTACACTTGACATTATGTTGTGAATGTCCTCTCATTTTTTTTTTTAAGACATTATTTTTTTAGAGTGGTTTTAGATTCACAGCAAAATTGAGAGGAAGGTACAAAGAGATCCCATATACCCTTGGCCCCACACAGGCATAGCCTCTCCCATTATCAACATCCCCACCAGAGTGGTACATTTGTTACAATTGATGAACCTATACTGACACATCACAATCACCCACGGTCCGTAGTGTCCGTGGGGGTTCATTGTTCGTGTTGTACGTTCTATGGGTTTGGAGAAATGTATAATGACATGTATCCATCATTATAATATCATACAGAGTGTTTTCACTGCCCTAAAAATCCTCTATGCTCCACCTATTCATCCCTTCCCACTTCCCCCCCAACTCCTGGAAACCACTGATTTTTTTTACCATCTGCACAGTTTTGCCTTTTTCAGAATGTCATATAGTTGGAATCACACTGTAGGTAGCCTTTTCAGATTGGCTTCTTTCACTTAGTAATATGCATTTAAGCTTACAGGAAGTTCAAAGGACCCTTAAGAAAGTTAAGAAAAACTTTGCATTAAATTTTACCTAACATTCAATTTGCCTACTGCTATGGACTGAATTGTGTCCCCCCAAATTTATATCTTGAGCCTCTAACTGCCAATGTGACTGTATTTGGAATAGGGCCCTTAGGGGGTAATATAGGTTAAATGAGGCATAAGAGTAGGGCCTCAATCCCATAGGACTGGTGTCCTTTGAGACACCAGACAGTTGGCTCTCCACCTCTCCACCTTGTGGAGACACAGCGAGAAAGCAGCCATCTATAAGCAAGGAAAAGAGCCTCCAGAAACCATATCAGTTGGCACCTTGATCTTGGACTTCCAATCTCCAGAACTGTGAGAAATAAATTTTTGTTGTTTAAGCCACCCAGTTTGTGGTATTTTTTATGGCAGCCTGAGCCAAAATGTCTTTAAAATATTCAAAATTAGATACAGTGAAATAAAATATTTTCAAGGATTATTCTGACATTTATAAAATTATTCTGCCATTTATGAAACATAAAACATAAAAATCATTTATTTCCATAGGAATGATAACAGAAAATACCTTAATTTCTATAATTCCAATATCATCAAAGTGATCTCCCATAACTTGGGCACTGGGGCACACAAAGACACACACACACAATACACCAACACAGTTACTTTTAAAGAAAAATGAGTCTTAGTGATTGGTTTGTCTTTCTTCTTCTTATGTAAAATATTTGGATATTTGAAGGAAACAAAAAACAGTCTACTAGTGATATAACTGGAAATACTCAGGAATTAACATATTGGCTGAGACTTCATTCCTGGTATGTAAGTCAAGAATGTAAAATTCAAACCCTTATAAAATACAATAGCAGTTATGTTTGTTAATGGTCAGTATAATAGCATAACAGTTTATATATGGAAATTTTAAACAAAATATTAACTTTTGCACTCATTAATTTATCTTTGGAAATTAGTGGGTGTTTGTTCTTGAAATGTTGGATTTTGAAGCATGACAATAGGAAGCAATACTAGCATACATGCAGTAAGGCTGTAATTACCTGCTCAGGTTTGGTGGGGCCAATCACGGTGGCATTTTCAGGGGCGCTGTCCTGAGATTGTCTCTTGCACAGACCTTTTGTTGCATCTTTGAACATAATGTCTTTTTCCAACAAACTGTCTTGCTTGGCAATTGGCAACATCAGTGGACTGCTACAGGAAATAATCAATACTATAATTAGTCTTATTCTAATGTTGCCATATCAATCAAAAATTACCACGACAGGACAGCTCGGTATAGAAAATTGTTTTATTCAGATAAGAAAGAGTTTCTCAACACTGCAGGGAAAAAAAAATCAATGGAAAATCTGTAAACTTTTCTATTAGCTACAAATTTCATTCAATTTCACCTTTAAAAGAAAAATATATTCATTTCAACTTGAGAAGAAAATGTTTATGAATGCATATACTACTGTAATAGACAAATCAATAACCAATTTAAAAGCTAAGATTGAAAAGCATGACTGAAGCAAGATATTTAAATGTAAAAATGAATTGCAAACAAGTGAAGGCAAAATTATACAATTAAATTAAATATTATTCATATAGGATTTAAGATATAGAATCATGGGCAATGTTTAGAGTTTGTAATGACATAATAATAGAGGAATTAGACACACTTAAGGATTGTAATATTACAAGCAGAATAAGTTTTATTACTTTTTTTTTGGTGAGGAAGAGTGGCCTTGAGCTAACACCTGTTGCCAATCTTCCTCTTTTTGCCTGAGGAAGATTGCCCCTGAGCCAACATCTGTGCCAATCTTCCCCTGTTTTTCATATGTGGGACGCCAGCACAGCATGGCCTGATGAGCGGTGTATAGGTCTGTACTGGGGATCTGAATCCACAAATCCCGGGCCGCCAAAGCTAGCGTGCAAAGGTAACCACTTTGCCATTGGGCCAGCCTCCAGTTTTATTACTTTTTACAGCTCAAACTAGGCAAAAAAATAAAATAAAAACTACTTCATTTTTTTATTTCTTCTATAGACATCATTGCCTCCATAAAGCCACTATTTCATGATAATAAAATATAAACACATGTTTATAAACTAAATGTTTAATTTGCATTGTAACACTTTATTACAGTAAGATTTAAAAATGTATTTCTCTAAATGTTACTATGCAAGCAGAAATATATGTGTATTTAATCAAGTGCAATATATATAAACATAATTATTTCATGTATTCTACAATAGTAGTTGTGATTCTAATTAAAGCTTAATGCACTTTTTCAGATTTAAAAAATTCAGGTTTATTGAGGTATTATTTACATACAGTAAATTCAATGAATTTTGTCAAATATATAGTTAGTTAAATATATATATATAGTTTGCATAACCCACATACCCAGCAATATGTAGAATTTTTATCACCCCCAAGTGTCTCTTTGTACCCACCCTTGGGAGTTAATTATCTCTGCTAGCCTCCTACTCCTTGGAAGCCCTGATGATTACTTCTTTCACTACTGTTTTGCCTCTCCCAAAATGTCACTTGCAAGGGGTCATAGAGCACGTAGACTTTCGTGCCTGGCTTCATTTACCTAATGCTTTTGAGATCCAATCATGCTGCTACATATATCAATAGTTTTGGTTTTTATTGCTGAGTAGTATTCTACCGGAGGGTGTACGACACTTCACCTATCCATTCAGCAAACATTTGGGTTTGTCCAGTTTTTGTCAACTGTGAATGGAGTTTCTAGACACATTTGTGTACAGGTGTTTTTGGAGACCTACTTTTATTATCTTGGTTAAATACCTAGGAGAAATTCCAAATTGTTTCTAAAGTGGCTGTACCACTTGGTGTTCCCCAGGGATGCAGTGGCATTTCACATCCTAGCTAGTTACTTATCTTTTTTTTTAATCCATTCTAGTAGGTGTGTTAATAGCTTCTCCCTTTGGTTTTAATTTGCATTTCAATGTGCTTATAAATAAGCACATAAGAATCTCTTCTCTGGTAAAGCACAAGTTCAAATTTTTTGACTGTTTTTTATTGGGTTCTTTGTTGTCAGATTATTGAGTTTATATATTCCGAATTCAATCCTTTATCAGATACGCAGGTGACAAATATTTTCTCCCAGTCTGTGTCTTATCTTTTCATTTTCTTAACAGTGTGTTTCAAAGAATATTTTTTTCTCTTATGGTTCGTGCTTCTTGTCTTATCTAAGAATTCTTTTCTTAACCCAAGGTCAAAAAGGTTTTCTCCCACGTTTCACTCTGAAAATCTTACAGTTTTATGCTTTTCATTTAAGTCTATGATTCATTGTGAGTGGCTTTTTGTGTATGGTGTTATATATGAGGTTCACAATTTTTTCATATGGCTGTCCAAATGTTCCAGCATCATTTTTGAAACGAACATCTTTCCCCATCCAATTATCTGGACACTTTCGTTAAAAATCTATTGACTGTATATGTGTGAGTCTATTTAGGGAGACTCCATTGTGCTCCACTGATATAATAATCTATTCTTACCCCAATATTACACTACCTTGATTAATGTACCTTAACAGGCAGGCTTGAAATCAGGTAATATGAGTCATCCAATTTTGTTTTCTCTATTCAAGGTCATTAACATTTTCATATAAATTTTAGAATCTATTTGTCAATTTTTATAAATATGCCTGTTTGGATTTTGATTAGCATTGTGCTCAACTGATAAATCAATTTGCTAGAATTTACATATTAACAATGTGGAATTCTGTCATCCATAAGCACAGTATATTTCTCCATCTATTTTGATCTTCATCAACTTCTCTCAGTATTTTGTAGTTTTCGGCATTAAAATCTTGCAAATAATTTGTTAGATTTATTCTGATGTATTCCATGTTTTTATGCCATTATAAATGTATTTTTATTTCAATTTCCAGTTGCTGACTGTTAGTATATAGAAATACAAATGATTTTGTAGATGAAGCTTGGTAGGGGAGAAAAAGAGTAATTTGAAGGGCCTCTTTCAGTAACCACGATGTTGCATTGTTTTCCAGCCCATCTCTATGCTGTCTTCCTGCTGTACAATGGTCTAGGAAAGCATGAAGAAAGAGAGACTAGTGAAGTGGCTGCTTTGGTCCAGGGCTGAGGGAAAAGCAAGAATAACTAAAGAACACGTTTGCAGAAATGTGAAGTCAGCTTCACTTCCTTTGAACTCTGAATGATGATGTTTTATAGTGTTTCAGTCAATGAAGATATTTTCAAGTAAGTGAGGGGGTGGGGGAACATATATTAAAAAGAGGCAGCATAGAATAGTATAGCTGTAACAAACATAATTTTTTTTTTTTTTTTGGTGAGGAAGATTGGCCCTGAGCTAACATCTGTTGCCAATCCTCCTCTTTTTGCTGAGGAAGACTGGCCCTGGGCTAACATCCATGCCCATCTTCCTCCACTTTATATGGGACACCTGCCGCAGCATGGCTTGATAAGCAATGCGTAGGTCTGCACCCAGGACCCGAACCTGCAAACCCAGGGCCACTGGAGCTGTGCACATGAACTTAACCACTATGCCACTGGGCCAGCCCCCAAGCATAACTTTTTGAGTCAGAAAAACTACAAAGTATGATGCTTGGCTCTGCCACTTTGGGCAAGTCATATAACCATTCTGTAAAGCCAATCTGTAAAAGGGCCCATAGTGAGGGATTACTAATATAATGCACATAAAGGACTTAGCCCAATGACTCTGGTAATAACCAGGCAATAAAATTAGCTGCTTTTATTTGTATATGTCCAGAACTGAGAAGTTTCTAGGATTTTACTCTACTTACTTACAAGCAAATTAGTTAGTTGTTACTATTTCAAGAATAGGTATAGAAGACAAGAGATTCCTAGATCAGAGACAAAAGACTTCATTACTCACGGAAAACCCAGCGTGTTGGCACTGGTTATCTTTGTCCCGTCCCATGGGGAAGTATGAGGGGTAACACAGGGAGACCTGAATAGATGCCGACACATGCAGTGTGTTCTGTTGTAGGAGAGAAACCCGGCCAAGAGTCAAGTACTTTTTGAGCAAGCAGCAAACATTGCACTAAGTAGCAGATAAGCCAGTGCTCCTCCCTTGCAAGTGAGTGTTGTGGTCTCCTTGAGCTACTTAGTGCTCTGTATGACTAACTACATATGCCTTGCAGTCTGACAAACTGAGCAAGAATGTGGAGGATGCTCAGAGCCCACGTCAGACTGTCCGTCCCAATGGTTTAGTTATTATTTTAAAAAATTCACTATAAAAAAGGAATGCTTATAATGCTTATAAAAATTTCATATCCAGACCTGCTTGAGTACCATCAAGTGATTAGATATTCCTAACTCCCAAGGAAGCCTTATGCTCTTCCATGAGCAACTTTGGAACAATGCCTGCCTGCTCTAACTTGTATTCATCATTCCTAGAGCTCCCAAGAGTGTGCCCTAGGCTTCTTTGACATGAGAGCCCTTCCCATAAGTGGTTTCCTTATATTTTCTATAATTTGAGTGAACTACTTGCAAAACATTTTAATAATTATATAGCATTTAATGTGTGACACTCTCTGTTCTAAGTACTCTACACATATTAAGTCTTTATTTGACAACAATGCTATCATAAGGTATGCACTACTTTTATGCCTATTCTATAGATGCATAAACTGAGGGCCAGAGAGAAGAACTTGCTGTGGACACACAGCGAGGCAGCAGTGGAGCTGAAATGTGAGCTCTGGAGCTTGAGTTCTTAATCCCATGTCACACTGCCTACATCTAAAAATCCACCCTCACATCTATCACAATACTTCATCCCTTATCTCCCATTATATCAATCATCTCCTTTTTCTGCACTGTCTGGAAATTTAAAAAAACTAAAGAGAGGTTTTGCATATACCAAATCTTTTGAGTACAAAGCAATTTATAAAGCAGTGGTTTGATTGGTCAGGTAGAAACTAAAAAGATAGTTTATGAAATACATAAAATCACCAATTATGAAGTATTTCTAAAAGGAGGAAATAATGAGCTTACTAAAATAGCTGACATACTCCTTTCATAACTCAGATCTAATCGCAGTGCTAATAGCAGCCTCCCTGAGAGCCACAGTTGGAAAGAAGACTGGTCCAGGGATACACTGACCTCATTCTAAGTCAGTTTCTATCTCGCGTTGGCTACTAGCTGACCTTCTGAGGCCTTCAGAATCTCTGGGCCACTTCTTCGCC